CTGGTGCGGGCGTGAGCAGGGGCAGAGCAACGTTTGCAAGTGAGGCAGGCCCAGCGAGACCCCAATGGATTCCTCTGTCAATACAGCACGGAGCTGCACGCTGGAGAGGGTCCCGTTAACCAGAGCAGCCCAGGACACGGACCCGCTCTGTGGGCAGCAGTGGGACCTCGGCTCGGGGCACAGCTGCCGTTCAAGAAGTGACGTGATCTCAGGTGGCAAAGGACAGGGATGGGGAATAACAGAGACTATTCTAATCCCTGCCTCGTCTGCCCCTGGGCCGCCCCGGGCACCCCGTCCCAGAGACCAGGGCCCAGCGAAAGGCGACGAGAACGCTAACGAGCCTGGAAAAACTCCACGAGGAGAGATTGGAGCAACTGGGGAGGGGATGGAGCAGAGGGGCCGGGAGAAAAATCTATACAATGAAGAATGAAAAGGTGGGCGAGGTAGGATCTCTTATTGCACCAGCTTCTGTCGGGGAGAGTTTCCCAGCCACACACAGCTCTGGGTGGGGCTCGAACGCTTGTCTCTCACCAGCAGAAGCTGGCCCAGTAAAAGCTATTATCTGCCCCACCTTGTCTCTCTCAGATCCTGGGACCCACACGGCTACCCCAACACTGCATATAAAATAGCAACTCAGCTCGGGAGGGCTGCCCGGGGGCGTCTGTTTCCCCGATGCCTAGCGCAGGAATCGGGGACGTCCCATTACATTAAATTCAGAACTGATCAGAGGAAATGCTTTTTTCTGCAACACAGGATTAGCCTGTGGAACTCACTGCCGCATGAAAGCCCCGAGGCCGAGTGCTTAGCCAGATTCGGGAGGGGCCGGCCATTTCCAGGGATAACAAACCCAGTCAGGCTTGTTGCAGTGATAAACGCTTTGGGGAAGGGAAATGAAACCTGCTGCTTCAGCGCTGCAGCCAAGCTCTGTCACAGACTGGGCTGCGATTATCCCCAGCCGCTATCCGGCCCCTGGCAGGGCCGGGGCTGGGCCGGGGGGCCTCAGGCTGACCCAGTCTGTCCGGCCCTATGCTCCCCAGGCGCTCTGGCTGCAGCTCTGAGCGGGGAGGTCAGCACGGCCCCAGAGGACGCGGGCCCGGGGCTGGACAGCTCTCCTTAGCTCAGGCTGCGGCCCAGACGGACAGTGTCTCACCGGCGCAGGGCTGGAGGTTGCAGGTGGTGAACTCGATCCGGTGCAGGACGGTGCTGCCCCGTGTGCGGTTCTGGTAGCCGCCCCCGCAGGGCACGGAGCACTCCGACCAGGGACCCCATTCGGCCCCAGAGCCTGCTGGAGAGAGGGGGCAGCTCAGGCACACGCACCCCAGAGACCCCCTGGGACGAAGTGGGACTGTTCTTAATGTTTCCTCTGAATACTGTGTGGGTGCCTCAGTTTCCCCTATGCATTTCTTAAGTCTCTAGGTGGTGGGATAAAGGCCAGTGTGCATAAATCACCGACACTCCGTCTCCTGGCAACTAATGGCCGCCCCCCTCCTCCCCCCCCGCAAGGTGCCAGCTGAAGGTGTGGGAGAACAAAGGAATCAGGAGACCTCCTGGCCCGGGAAAGGAAAAAGCTCAGAGGAGGAGGGGCTGGAGAGAGTCAGTTTGGAGCTGGCTGGGGACGGGGAGTGAGGGCAGACGGGGGTGTCTGGCTCACTGCCCCCCAGAATGGACCCAGCCGAGGGGTCCTGTTCTCTGGACCTACAAGCTCTGTTTTAGACCGTGTTCCTGTCATTGAATAAACCTGTTTTCCCGGCTGGCTGAGAGTCACGTCTGACTGCGAAGTGTGGGTGCAGGACCCTCTGGCTGCCCCAGGACCCCGCCTGGGCGGACTCGCTGTGGGAAGCTCACTCCGGGGCGCTGCCCTTGCTTTGGCTGCAGTCCCTGGGCACCCCCAGCCCCCTGCCCCGGGGAAGTCCCTTCGGGCCGCGGGCGGGGCTGGGAGCTGCTGGCCGACTCACCCCTGCAGGGCTGCAGGCTGCAGAACTCGACCTCCACGCCGGGGCCCTGGCAGTCGCGCCCCCCGAAAGCGGCGGGCGGGTCGGAGCCAGAGCGGTAGCGCCGCCGGGTGCCCACGTTGCAGCTGCGGCTGCAGGAGCTCCACTCGGTCCAA